CTGGATGATATAAATGTGTATTTTCCAACTCTGGATCTTTTTGACAATTACCTTAAAATTGTTCTAAATTATATTGAATCTGCAAAACAGGATCTTTCTAATGCTGCTTACGAAAAACTCAGGTGTCATTTCTGGATCACATTTTATCATTAAAGTGACTAATGCCTGATCCTGAATGTATGACTTTCAGACTACCTGACTTCTTCGTGGTATTCAAAAATTGTTCCCAATTATGCCTCAGCAGTTAAAACAATTGAGAGCATTACAGTGTGAAAGCACAAGCATGGTCAGGTCAAAGACCACCCAGCACTGCTTGAGAGCAGTTCAGCACTAGCAATATTTGATTCTTCTGCATCTACTATCTTTACTGTAGTTTAGGTAGGATTTTTGTGTTTAGTTGCTAGTAAGCCTGGGAGTGATTCAGTGATGTCACTTCAGATTAGGCTGGGAGACTCCACAGGACAAGGCTTCTGGAGCCCTCCCACCCCTCTAGAAACTGCTGGTACTTTCTAGAAGAAGGGCTGAGGGAACCTGGCCAGTGGTAAGGCAGGAGGTCTGGCATGGTGGTAAGGACAACACTTAAATATGGGAGAGCCTGTCCAGCAGGACAGTTGGAGTCAGGTGGAAGGTGGAGTGAGGAAGTGCTGCATGTGTGGAAGCTGGGAGGGGGCTCAAGAGGAGGGGCTGAAGGTCCTCCACTGTCATACAGTCTAGCTAGGAAAGACAGCGTGCCAGCAGGGAAGGAGCCAGCCCAGCGTAAGTCCTGAGAACAGCTTCAACCACTAAGCTACAGGAACAGCATAGTGTGAGTAATTCTACACCCCCTGGGCCAAATAAGGCAGTGGGTGGTCAGGTGCAATCCCCAACTAGTTCTCCCTGGGCCTACTTAATTTTTATGTCTTGGAATCCCTTGCCCTGGAATACTCTCAAGACAGCCAGGTGGAAGAGAGTTTCATCTGGGGTCTGAGGAGGTTCATTTGAGCGGATTAAGGGCTCGTTCACACTTGACTGTTTTACCAGCTCTTTCCAAACACCCCTATAGTGTTTGGCAAGCGTTGGTCCGGCGTTTGCAGAGCGTTTTTTAGCGCTCGGCAAACGCTCCGCAAACGCTGCATGCGTGGTTTAGTGGCGGTTGCCGATCATTAAAAACGCCCTACAAACGCCTATAATGAAGTTTGAATGGTGTTACCGCTCCACAAACGCCCCGCAACCGCCCCGCAACCGCACCGCAAACGCCGGCCGTTTGTGGAGCGGCACCACAGACTAGAATAGGAGGCTTCAACGCCACCTGACTCGACCAGAGGCGTCCGTTTTGCCGCGACACGACGCAACAAAAGACGCTCCTGTTAGAACTGCACTATGTGCTGCAATGTGCAGAATTGTCCGAGGCGTTTGGGAAGCGGTAAAAACGCTTCCCAAATGCTTCTCTACCGCCTGCACACAATGCTAGTGTGAACGTAGCCTAAGTGTTCCTTGCAAAGACTGTGTGCTGAATTTTGTCCTTTTTGTCTAAGAAGTTTGTCCTCCAAGTTTTTCAGTTCCATTGGGCATCTCATTTACCCCTAGACCCCATCCAAGTTGTTAACCCCTAATAAAACAATGGTCAAAAAAAATAAAGCTCATGGACAACTGTTCACTGACTTTGGATGAAAGTGTGGAAAATTTGTGTTGCCTAGCTGTGCAGAGTTTAGGGGGACCCAAAAACTCACCTGCCCTCAAGAGGGTAGTGCTACATCACCACAGATGCTTCAGGCTGTGGTGCAGTCCTTACACATTGCCATGCAGACTAGGAAGAGAAAACTGTTGCTTTTGCATTCAGAATGTGTACAGAAGCAGAACGAAAGTATTATACTGTAGAAAATATGGAGAACATAACTGTGGGGTCAACAGTATACCTTGCAGATTGGCCATAGTCCTCTAACTACACTGCAAGTGAAATGCTTATAGTCAGATGTTCAGCTAGGTTACTTCATTTTGAACTACACATTTCAATACAAACCATATCTGAAAACTGATACTGCTCGTTTTTCACAGTTACTCTTACCTGCAGCTCCTACTACACAGGAAGAGGATGCTGATGTTGTATTTTACTGATATAGATGCTGTTATGGCATCTGAGTTTAACCAAGCTTATCTTGCATGCCCAGGATAAATAGTTATGGTGGCCAAACTGTCCTTAGTTGATGGCTATGTTGTCTATGGATCTTATTGTTTACTTGTACCAGAGATCATGAGAAAGCACCCTATACAACTGGCATACCTTGCTGGATCTAGGGGGGTGCTGGGTTGGGTTGCACCCTCCAGATTTCAGTTGTCCCTCCCCAGGCCACTGAGCTCCCCCCCCCCCCCCATCCCCACACTCAGAGCTGGGACAAGGGAAGGGGAGCCTGGAGAAGTTAAGTCCAGAAAGTGACAAAGAAGAGAGAACCCAGAGGAGTGGTGCAATGCTATGCTCTGCCCCCCTTATCCTGTCAGAACAGTGCTGCTCCATATACAGAACAGTGCTGCTCCATATAACTGATGACACAGGATCATTCCAACCATTGGATTGTACACTGGTTCATTACCCACCCCTATCTCCTCCAAAGACTGCTTATCTCCCAGCAGCAGGAAATGTGGGTTGGGGCAGGTAAAGAAACCATGTACAGTCCGATGGTTGGAGCAATCCTGTGTCATCAGCTATATGGAGTAGCGCTGTTCTGACAGAAGGAGGGGGCAGAGCACACACAGAACCTCCAGACTGTAAGTTGGGAGGATGAGGGTGGGGGAGCTTGCAGACAAATTGTATGCAATGAAGGGGGAGGTTGGTGGGAAACAGTCATTTGTGCTTGGGATGAGAAGGAGCTATTTGTACTGGAAAGGGTAATGGGGTTTGGGGGGATTTTTTTTTCTAGGAAGGGGATTTGTGCTAGGAAGGGGGACTGGGGAGATTTATGCTAAGAAGCAAAATTTTGGGGATATTTGTGCTAGGATGGGAAGTTTGAGGGGAAAGGGGACATGTGCATGGAGGGGTGATTTTTTTGGGCGAGGGAGATTTGTGCTAAGAAGAGGGAATTGCGGGCATTGGAGGCGGGATTGGGGGTTAAAGATTTGTGCTGGAAGGGGATTTATACTGGGAGGAGGGGGAATTTTTGCATAGTTGTTTGGAGAGAATTTTGGCTTGCAGACAAAATGTATGCTTGGGGGGAGTGTGCTGATTAGAATTGTTTTTTTTTTTTTTTTGCTTTTTTTTAGGGGGAGGGATTTATGCTGAGACAGGATGATTACACATAGGGGGGCCTAGTTTGTCATCTACGCCCTGGGAGCTAGATGACCTTGTCCTGGCACTGCCCGCACCACACACAGGGCAGTCAATAGATCGCCTCCTCCCCACTCAGCACATAGCTGTGATTGAATTCCCTTACAGACACGGCCTCAATCTATAGTGTATAGCTGGCTACTGTGTTTCAGTTCTGACCCTATCCTCTTCTCTGCTGACCACTGTCATCTTCCCTGCTGACCCATTTCCTCTACCCTGCTGACCCGCTGTGCCCTGCACTGCTGACCTCTGTCCTCCATCCTGCTGACCCCTGTACACTGCCTTTCTGAGCACTGTCCTCTACCCTGCTAACCCCCTTTTCTCTGCCCTGCTGTCCCCTTTATTCTGCCTGATTACCCCTGTTCTCCAATCTGCTGACCCCTGTCATCTCCTTTATTGACCCCTGTCATTTGCCCTGCTGACCCCTATCTACTGCCCTACTGAACTGCTTTATACTGCCCTACTGACTCTTGTACACTTTCCTGCTGATATCTCATCCTCTGCCCTACAAACTAATGGTCTCTGTACTCTGCCCAACAAACCGCTGACTCTGTCCTCTGCCCTACTGGCCCCCCTATACACTGCCCTACTAACTTTTATATACTGCCCTGCTGACCTCACATGCTTTGCCCCCTGATGTTTTCTATGGCACCCCCACATCAGACAGGATAGATCTGGCCCAGCTGGCACATGAGAGTCACCAAGGAACTGTAAAAACAAAGCTAAGAATATACTGGTGGACAGGCAAGGTTACCCAATTCCTAACTGCCATTCAGCCTTATGTTACTTGTCAGTCATGACAAATCTGCTGTCAGACACATACTCCACCACTGCAGTCATTGCCATATCCTGATTCTACTTGCTATTAATGTTGCTGGGATGGAACTCACACAAGTTCCCCCACAGGCCTGCTAGGGAATATGTGGAAGGAATTCTGGCAGGGTACACCAGAAGAGGAGGTTTGGGGCTGCTCTGTGCAGAATCATTGCACAAAGCAGGTAAGTATGACACGGTGGATAAAAATAAATGATTTTTTTTTAAAAAAATCAAAAAAATCAGATTTTTTTTTATTTAAATCGGAATTTTTGGATTTAAATCATTTTTTTTATTTAAATCGGATTTTTTTTAAATAAAATGCTTTTTGAGGAAAATATATTACCATCCAAAGGTTGTTCCATCATGAAATAAAGATTAGTTTTTTTAATTATGTAGAATAAGGCTGTATATGTTTAATTTGTTTGGTAAATAAATTCCATTAATCCATTCACAATGTCATGCTCTTCCAGAGGTTTTTGTAAGATTATTGGGTAGTTTATCTGCCTACAAGATATTATCACAGATGCTTGGTTTACTTTTGCAGTTCTCAAAACTGAATTTGATACAGCGGAGATCACATGCCTCTTCTTCACAGCAAAAATGTTATAACATGAACAGAGTTAAGAAAAAGACCTTCATCCTAACTTCTACAAACCTATGAATACAGAATCAACCCCTTCAGTGCTAAGTTTTAAGAAGTTCAGTGAATAGAATAGAAACAATATTTTTCTGATTGTTTGAAGTGGAATAGATTTGCACAAGAAGAAAGTGAAACTAAGTGTGAGGAGGAAGGGGCTGACAGTCTAAGTCACTTAAAATATATATACCGTATTTTTCGCTCCATAAGACGCATCTGACCTTAAGACGCACCTAGGTTTTAGAGGCAGAAAACAGGAAAATAAATATTCGGAACCAATGGACTGCAGACATAGTACAGGAGATGACCAGAGACTGCGGAAACAGTACAGGAGATGACCAGAGACTGCGGAAACAGTACAGGAGATGACCAGAGACTGCGGACACAGTACAGGGGATGACCAGAGACTGCGGACAGTACAGGGATGACCAGAGACTGCGGACACAGTACAGGAGATGACCAGAGACTGCGGACAGTACAGGGATGACAGAAACTGCGGACAGTACAGGGGATGACCAAGAGACTGCGGACACAGTAGAGGGGATGACCAGAGACTGCAGACATAGTACAGGAGATGACCAGAGACTGCGGACAGTACAGGGATGACCAGAAACTGCGGACAGTACAGGGGATGACCAAGAGACTGCGGACACAGTAGAGGGGATGACCAGAGACTGCAGACATAGTACAGGAGATGACCAGAGACTTCGGACATAGTACAGGAGATGACCAGAGACTGCGGACAGTACAGGGATGAGCAGAGACTGCGGACAGTACAGGGATGACCAGAGACTGGACAGTACAGGAGATGACTGCTGACCTTTGGGGAGGGGGGGGAGCGGGTACCTGAATTTGACAGGTACTCGCTCTTCTGCGGAGTTGTTCTTTAATTAGTGTCCGCTCTGCAGCGGGACCTTACCTGTTCCTCTATCCATCGCGCGCTGTCTTCCCGGCTTCTGTAGTGTGGGCGCTCGGCTTGACAGCCGGGTGCCCAGTGCGCATGAGCGAGAAGCGCTGCGCTTTGTGATTGGTCGGCGGCTTCTGGGACCTGTTTATGTGTCCAAGGTGCCGCCTTACCATTCACAAAGAGCACCGCTTCTTGCGCATGCGCATTTGGCACCCGGCTGTCAAGCCGAGCGCCCACACTACAGAAGCCGGGAAGACAGCGCGCCGCTGGATAGAGGAACAGGTAAGGTCCCGCTGCAGAGCTGAACGGCCGGCCCGGTATTCTGACACGGCGGTGGCGGTGGAAATACCGGACCGGCCACTCCATATTCGCTCCATAAGATGCACTGACATTTTCCCCCCTTTTTTTGGGGGAAAAAAGTGCATTTTATGGAGCGAAAAATACGGTATTTTGTTTAGCCAAATTAGTTAACAAACATGGATGTTTGTTTAAGCAAATAACATATGCTGTAATGTTATTGTTTCAGTTGAATAAATCTATTTAAATTGTTATTATTAAGGTAATGATTATTTTTCTCCTTCCTAAGTACAGCAGAAAAGTTGTCCAAATATGAATGATTAACCTATTAAACTGGGGATAAAAAAACTAATATGAAAAGTTGTTATTCTAAAAATCTTCATCTGCTTGCATATTAAAGTTATACCAGCAAGAATTAGTCTTTATGTAGAAAACTATGATTTAAATCAAGCCTTACTGACTAGTGATTTAAATCGTGATTTAAATCAGTTTGATTTAAATCAAATCCACCCTGGTATGACATGTTTATTATGTTTTAAAATGGACCTTTAGAACAGGGGTCTTCAATTAAAATTTACAGAGGTCCAGTTAGTAAAACTTTTTTTTGGCAGAGGTCCAATCTCATGTTTGCACTATAACACATCACAGTCCCCCTTTACATCACAGCCCCCCTGTACATCAGTGTCTTTAGCCTACCTTTCACATCATAGCCCCCTTCATATCACAGCCCCCTCTTTAAATCAGTATTTGCAGCCCCCTCTTCACATCACAACCCCCTTTAACATTACAGTCCCCTTCTTTACATCAGTGTCCATAGTCCCATTTACATCACATTACCCCCTTTAAAGCAGTCCCACAGTGTCTTCTGTTCACCTTCACACCAGAGCCATCCTTTACATTGGAGTGCTCCTTTACCTTGCAGTGCCCTTCACATCACAGTGCCCCTTTACATCTTAATCATAGTGTCCCTTTACATCACAGTACCCATTTATGACAGTGTCCCTTAATGTCACAGTGCCCCTTACAACACAGTGCCCTGTCGCAGTACGCCTTTATGTCACAGTGCCCTTTTATGTCACAGTGCCCCCTTACAATACATTGCCTCTTTAATCACAGCACCCCTTTATGTCACAGTGGCCCTTTAAATCATAGTGTCCCATTATGTCACAGTGCCCCTTACATCACAGTGCCCCTCCACATCAGAGTGCCCCTTTCAATGCAAGCCTCCCCTGCACAATGTTACCTTTGGCAGGGCAGAGGCTGGATATGCATACACCGCAAAGGTGAAACGTGGCAGAACGCCTGGGAAACTCTCTCCGAACCCTATGGTTCCATTGAACCCCCCAACTACTGAACACAATAATTACTATAATTAACCTTTCCACAGTTCCTTATCTCCAGTTCTTGTAGGGTCTGGTTCACACTGGCAGCCAGGGGGAGGTAAAAACAAATGGTTGAGCCAGGGTCTTACTGTCCTCTGACTGCCCACCTAAAAGGGAAGATGCAGCCGCTTAGGGTTGTGCATACACCGTCCCTATAAGGCTTTGCTTTGTGACCATGTGCAGCATTGTAGCCAGATGCGACTCACTGAAGTGAATGGGGCCTCAGAGGGTAGAGCACAATATTTATATATAAAGTACCCTTTTGGTAGTCAAAGAAAAAAACAAGCATTCAGAAGGGGGCAGTATCACCTCCTGAATGCCTGTCAACCGCTGTTTTACCACCCTCTTAAAAGTGATCACTGAGACAGAAATGCTGCCGTGTGTGACCGAGCCCTTAATCTATATGTGGGGTTTAGATGAGGTTGATTCGGGCTAATGAATGATAAAATATTTCATTTTTAGTTTAAAATTTTCATTCTATAGTGACACTCCACAGATCTGAAGAAAATATTCATTTAATCGAAGCAGATGGCATTTGAATTTCAACTTTGCTAATAAATGGGTTAAAAGTTGTCCATGCCTACTGGCATTTGAATTATTCACCAATAAATTATCCAGTTCAACTGTCTTGAATAATGGAGGAACACATTTTTGCAAAAGCTATTTTAGGAAAAGGAAAAGTGTCTGCATTTGAGTCACCTTATCTTACTTCACAGTGTTTATGTGTTTAATTAAACAGGTACAAAAACAGTTTTAAGAATTTCACTTTAGCATAAAACCATTTATCTCTGTAGCTTTTTTTCTATATTTTAGTTTAGTTTATTTAAGAATGCAACAACTGGTCTTTGAGCAGGTCAGTGGTTGGCCATATATCTAACTCCATATACAGACCTCACAGGTGATTTGCAGTAGTGATGGAAGCAGGAGCGGACTGACCATTTGGAAACTCGGGTACTGCCAGAGGGCCCAGGGTCAGTAGGGGACCCCATGAGATGCCCCTGGTACCTTTTTCATAGGCTTTTTTGAGTGTGAGCAAGGACACAGGGGCTCCATGATCCCCTATTGCCCGGGGGCCCCATGAGTTGTCAGTCTGCCCCTGGATGGAAGTTCAATTGGAGAATCATTTGCTATTAGTCTATTTAGATACCATTGAGTGTATCTAAAGCATTGTGCTATTGATTGTTTTATTTCAATGGTATGGAATTGCATAAATTATTACCAAATTTCAAAGAATTTCTGAACCTGGATTTCTTTGCATAGTGAGGCCTCTACCTTCTTGGAACTACTACGGCACACAAAGGTTAATTTCTCTATAAACACTGCACTCTTTGGAGGATCAGGATCAATACACTTATGTAAGACAGTCCTTTTATCTACTAGGGAGATTATAGTGAGAAGCTGTTTGAAGCTTTCGGGAATCTTCTTGCTAGGAATGTATATTATGCCAAACCTCTCTCCCCCCTGCAAGCAAAAATTCCCTAGAATAAATCTTGCTCAACTAACCCCTTCCACCTCTAGAGGGAAATCCCTTCCCAGAACAAATCTTACCTGCTCAAAACTACCCCTTCTTGCAAAGAAACAGTCCATCCCTAGAAGAATATGTCTCCATAACAAATCTCTATGCTCAAAATCCCAAGCAAAAATTCCATCCCCAGAAAAATATCCAACTAGAAAAAAAAATTCTCATCTCACTCCCCCTTCACAGCAAAGCAAAAGTTAAATCCCTAGAAAATAATCCCTCAGAAATCTCTGTCATTTCCTAGCAGTCCAGGCACAAATCCCACCCTCTCTAAATTTAGCAGAGTTTTCTATTTTTTATATGTTTGTCCATGGAACTTGTATTTATGATAGCCCTGCCATATACCTGAATACAGCACTACACAGCCACTCATGTCTATGAGAGGCCGTACACTGCACCTGGGCTGCCCGGGCAGAGGAGAGGCACCAAAATATATATTGAACGGGCTCAGCCACCCATGTGCAAGGAGCCTATATTTATAGTAACACTTGATCCTTTAAAATTACCACTTGTCAAACTTAAAATGGCCTTTTTTTATAGATTATTTTTTTTCATTTAAAAGACAAAACCACCAAAAGAAAACCTTGTTCCCCTTCCCCACCAAAAAGTAAAAATATTCCTCACATTGTTAACAAAAGTAATAATAATGGTATTCCTAAATTACTAGGCCCATAGCTGAGATGAGAAAAATAGCTAAATTACAACCAGAATTTTGCTCCACTCACTGTGTGTTTCAGAAACTTCCTCAGTAAAAGCAGGACAAAAAATGATGGTAGCAAAGGTCACTGAAAAATGCACAAAGTAATAAAAACCTTACTAAGGTTCTAACCTTTCCACAATAAATTAAAATGTGTATTTGTAGCTGTCTCTACCATCACTCCTCATCACAGGACAGGAAGTTAAAGGAAAGCTTATCAAAAGAAATGGAGACAACCTTCCCTGTTATACCAAAAATAATGGCTGGGCTTTAACTGTAAATAAAAGGGATGTTTCTTGCATTTCAGTTTGTGTTAGTAGTGTTTCCATCAAAAAAAAACAAAAGAATAATTGTGGTCCAGAACATGACTTCATTTTTGGCATGGTAATCTGAAAATAGCTCAGCTTTTACTGTTAGGCTTTCTTATATTGGAGCACTTTTCTATAGATAACATGACATATCTGTGCCAGAGTGAGAATTCAAAGCAACCTTTGCATGCAAACACAGCAATTAAATCTTAAAACTAACTCACTGACCTCTGTAGCTGCAGCTATTGTGAAGTAACTCATCTTCAAATTTCACAGCTGAGGCGTCTGTTTTTTTACTTTCTAATTGTAGCTCAGCTACCCACTCCTAGCAGTGAGTTGGCTGCTTGCCAACCTTCTAATCTCTAACTTTTTTATTCCAGTGGAAACCTTGAAATTATTTTCAGTTTTCTGGCAACCCCCACTAAAAGTCAGTGGGAAAAATTCACCTTACATTGGTGGCTATTGGGAAAATGCCCCTCTTACAGTGATGGTCAAAATGCCATCCTTACAGATGGATTAAAAAGGTAAGTGTTGTCATACAGCTTGTTCTGCCAAGTGGTGTTGGCCCTGAAACTATGCAGCCACTCAAGGAATGAACCCTTAGCAACCTCTGAAGGAATCCTAGTGCTCAAACCCAAGTTGATAATGGCTGCTCTAATGTAGA